TGTATAATCCTGGACTGAATAATGCCGAGTGCACCAAATTTTACAAACATGTTTTTCCTTTGTTCCACAAAGAAATCGAAGTGATTTCCCTATGAACCATGAAACTGAAGAATGTGTGAAGGAAGATGACACCATTACGTACATTTATTGATTTAACGAAAGTAAGTGCATACAAGAACAGTGGGTGTGTAGTGAAAGACAATAAGTGTTTGAGGTTACTCTTGCACGATTATTCATAATTTCGTGTGAAATATGTACAGTGATTAGCACAAAATGGGTTGTAGTGGTTATATGGACAGAAAGTGAATTAGAATTTATGAGTGCTTATTTGATATGACAGAAAACAGGGTGTAGTTTTGGTATGAAGCCTCTGAACATTACACGAGTGAGTAGGTTATCATTCAGAATAACATATATTTTTCTTTGCGTTAGTGTAAGTACTAGTAAGAAGAGGGTGCAAAGTGAAGTCCTAGTTCCCACTGAAGGAGATAATGTTCAATTTACATCTTAGTTCTGTGTCACATAGAGAGTGGTGGGTATAATGTATGTTGTTTTGGTCAAAATAATGTCAAGTGTAAAGTGAAGTGCAAGGTCTCTAATGAGGCTTTATATTTCTGTGTGTCATATAAACAGTGATGTGTAGTGCGGTGTTGTAGTGTTTTCAAGAAAGTTAAGACTTCCATTCACCCACAGTGGATTGAAAAGTTTCCCCTTTTTTGTACGTATCTTGTCCCCATGAAGAATACATGCTTATAAGAAGGTGGTATGCCAAGTGAAACACATGTTGTCATTGGTGTTATGCTAGAAATCCTGTTCAATGACATAGTGTAAAATGTGCACTGTGGTGTGTAGAGTATGTGTTATAGGATGAAGAATGATGGCAAGTAATTACTAAGTTAGAAGTGTACTTTATGAGTGATAGGCAACGGATGGCATTCTTGCCGTCTAATCTCCCGGGCTTCCACTTGTGAGCAGGTAGTATACAGCATCAGGGAATTATTTTCTCTCCATCTATTAAAGTGTTTACAGAATCAAATTGTGTACAGGAAAGCACGAGTTGTTACAGATGACATTCTTGTAATTGTATTTTATAGTTTAGTCCAGAACATATTTAGTGATGTGTTCATTTTGTGTATTAATGCTTAGGAAGGTGTCGAATGATATTTCCTAATTCAGTNTTTAACAGAAAAATATATGCAAGGGTTTATCATGTGAGAAAATTTGGAAATAAAATGTCCCGTATAAAAATATATAATGATTTCATACGCTATCGTAATCTATTACCGACGGCCAAACCTTGCTCAACTGAGCATAACGATGCGCGGTAGTCAGTTGTGCACACCCATCATAATGTACCCTCAAAATCTAACATTAGCGTAACTTACCGAGCTTCGCCACATCAAAGGTACAGAGGGATGCGCAGTAGTCTACTGCGCAAACCTAACCTAACATCAGCGAATCGTACCCCAGGGGCTAGCCCACCAAGTCACAGGTTGATGCGTAGTAGTCTATTGCGCACACCTAACAGTGACGTCATTTATGAAACTGCTATTTAAACGAATGTAATCAAGGACTGTCGTAACATGGAATATAAATCGAAAAATGACGTTATGTATAAAATTCAGTGTTTGGACTGTTTTTCTAACTATAATCTCAATCTATGCCCTTATATTCCGAGGTTTTATTCCTACGTGATAACTTAGACTGTGACGAAAACGCCGCTTCCACCTCACGAGTTTGCGCTCCCCCATGGTGATACAAATAGTTACCGAATATTACATATTATGGCATTATGCTGCCCTCCAATGGCATAACGTTATGACGAAAAATAGTTATCAGTGAATTCTTTCCCCCCTTTCTCGTGGATGGATATGCAACCAATTCAGTGATTCGTTGGCGTTTGTGTCATCCAAAATTTCGTTCCTGGATAGAAAGTAGAATAATATTATACATGAAAATGATTAAAACATAGGGTGAAAAATACTGTCCTGTAATCGATCTGATAATTGAATATTTCTGTTTTGGTCATGTTAGGAGGTTTGCTGCCCTGTGACTATGACTGTGACCTCCTTTTCTGGTGTACAACATCAAGTTACGTTTGTTTCCTGGCATGAAGAGGTGTTTAAATATTACGACAGTGTTGTTTATGTTTATATACATATATGTAGAAGATCTGATTAATTATCTGCCTGAAAGTATATGTTAAAAGATTCAGTCAGATATTCAAATTGTAGGCTTTAATACAAAAATATACAAATAAATACGCCTTTACATGCTTCAGTCCATACTGGCCATCATCAGAAGGTTCTCCACTACAGGGAAATATACTTATGTGTTAGCTATACATCTGTCTGTTATCGTTTATCTTTAAAATTAATACTGTGGCATGCCTGCTTAAAGCAAGGATTGTGAAGTCAGCAGAGACAGCCGTTGCTAAGGAACAGCATGATAACATATGACCCAGTGTTTTCTATGCAGCCCCCAGCTGTATCTGCATCGTGGACATACAGACGATTCTGTCAGAGGCTGTCACACAGTTGTCCCTGGCAGAGGCATGGGGGGCACAAAACGTCCAATGTTGCAAGCCGCTGCATAGCAATACTGAGTCTTCTTGTAAGACAGACACCAGCCTGTGAGGACATGAGTTGTGGAACATGGAGGCTTAGAAATCTACAATGTTGGGAGTGTTGCCAGGTGACAACCGGTGAAGACATCAGAATACTGGCAAGACCTAGTGCATGCCGTAGTGGTCTGTTATGTGTGTAGATCCACGAAACTGTTACAGTCCAATGAATGCAGTTCCCAATCCAAAACCCATCTATATTAATTCAATCACATGACAATTGATGTCAGAAGTGGGATAACTGGACAGGACTGGTTGGATTGGAACCCAAGTGATGGATAATCATGGAGGATTTGAACATCTGGAAGCTATCATAGAATGGATGAGAGCAGAAATGAAAGCAAATTAAGAAAGGATGATGGCCATAATGAAAGCCAGTCTAGGAAAGACAGTGGCCAGGCTCCAACGGAAGCCAAAATTAAGACTGGCCTGGAAGAAATGAAGGCCACGGGCAGTATTTTGTCAGCAAGTCCGTAAAGAAGAGGCTGCAGTGGAGACTATAGGAACACTGGAGGACTGATCTGGGGACTAGCAACCGGCTATGGGATACAGCAACCCATGGAAAAGGTGGACAAAAGACGACATTTTACAAGCAGCCCCAAAAGAGAGGAGTTCAGTGAGAGATGACGGATGCAGCTGAAATGCAGCAATGGCATAAGGGACTAAGGCCTGCTACAACTGGGGGAGTAAAGGAAATGTTAGTGAAGCCCTGAGACAGACCCTAGGGCTGAAGATCGCAAAATGAACAGTCAGGTCTTCCATCAGACCCTGAAGAACAAGGGTCAGGGAGCTGTGGAGGAGCTGGCCACCATCCAAAGGAAAGAAGAGACTACCAGCAGCTTAAGAGCCAGGGATGTAGGAGCACTGACCACTCTTGGAAGTTTTGCTCACACCGACTGGGAATGAAGAAATAGCTGTTCGCCTGTTGGCTGCTGAGGACAAGCAGCATTAAGGAGGGAGCAGTGTGTCATGCTCACTGAAAGCTGGAAGTTTAACCAGAAGAGATGTCCGTTAACTAGGTTAATAAAGAGCGAAGCAACAGCAGAACATGAAACGCTATGTCTGCATAGTAACAGTTATTCACATAACAATAGAAAAACTGTCAGAAGTAGCATTTTCTGTGCAGTCTGCCTTGGCAACTGCATGACTACAATACCACAGTTGTAACAAATAGTGTTTTCTGTTTGGTCCATGCAGAGGCAATATCTGGAGAACTGAAACACAACTAAGTCAGCTGTAAGTCTATGCAGTCTGAAGGCAGATACACCAGTCTGAGTCTGAGGCTGGTGTGAGATGGTCGCCCCTGGTGCAGGTGTGGGAAGTAGAGGAGCTCCCATTGTTGTACGTTGTTGTATAGCAACACCAAGTTAGTTGTGAGATAGTTGCTGGCCAGTAAGGATGTGAACATGGTAGATGAGGAAGCTACATCATTGGAAGCAGTTACTAGACAACCGGTGAAGACACAGTAGACTGAGAAAACTTAGTGCATGCAGTAGTGAATTTCAGAGTGTGTGAACTAGCAACAGTAGCAATGTGTAGCTTAAAGTGGAAACAATGTTTTCTCCTTTCACTGCTGCTATACAGTGTGTTCTGTGGGATTTGTGTGTATGCTTAATGAATGGTGTGATACATAAAGTGTGCTAACCTGTGACTGAGAGGACATGTGGACCAGGGCCTGTATGCGAGCCATACCCAGTGAATCCAGAATGAGCCAGGCCATTGGAAAAACAACTGGCAGAAGTGGAAGTGCAACAGCTACTGTCTGCAGGAGGAACATCTCTGTCCAGTGACCTACTCCAACCCATCTGCTGAGGTATAAGAAGCGAATAAGGTTGACAAACAGCACACATACCTGTAGTAACAAAAAATACAGGTTTATGTCAAAGGATGATTTGTTGTAACTTGATTATGTTGACAGTGCTTACCACATGATGTAATTCAATATACAGAATACTCTTATCTACCAGTGATGTGTCATCATCATATTAATTGACCAACTCCATGAAGTACATCATTCTTGAGAAGGAAATAGTTCCTCTGTCCAGTTGTATCCAGTCCACATCTTCACACTCTGTTTCTTTAAGATCTACCTTAATACATTCCTCCCATATATGCCTAGATCTCCCAAACAGTCTCTTCCCTTTGGTATTTCTGATTAAAATTTTGTATGCATTATCATCTCCACTTACATTTCATTCAGTAGCAACTGTTGGATCAAATGTAGAACCCTTGGGGTATTAAATATATTTAAAAACATGCAGTTCTTAAAATCCCTTGCAGTTAATTTGTAATTAGGGGAAAAAAATACATATCATACTTAATAAATGAGTCTTATTATTTACAAGAATTTTATAACACTTTGTTGGGTGAGGGGAAAAATCTCAGCTCCGAATGCTAATAATTGAAAAAATTGACATAAAAGAAATATCTCTGTTCTTATTGTTGGCTTTATACCTAGCCTAACATTTGGCAGGACTCAAAGTAAAGAAGCTAATACAACAAATTATGTGGCAGTGTTTTCTATCTAGTACATGAGATTTGAATGCGGAAAAGTAATCCCTACTTTCTGTACCTCCCATTTTACACAAGAATTATTCAATTGGTACCACAGATGTTTCACTTCACACCAAATTTGATGCATCTCTCTTGCAACAGATGTGAGATAAGCATTCCAGATGCCCTGAATTCATAAAATATCATTAGTTAGTTAGTTAGTTATTGGAGAGGGTGGGTTTCCCCATGCACTTAGACCAGTATTGGTCCATTGTGCTTCCCTCTATGATATTCTACCAGTCTCTATACCCTACCTATATTGGTGAGTACCATCAGTCCCGCTGAGCCAGCGAGTTCGGCCTCTACTGGCTTGGTGGTGTCTATAATGCTTCCCCCGTCTATCAGAGGCATTAGGGACTACAGTTGGGTGGGAAATGTCCTTGAATTTGGCTCAGTGACCTCCTTTGGAGATATGAGGTTCTTTTACGTGCCGTAAAGCTACGACACGGGACCCACGGCCTGAAAGTCCCTCCCGGAGGACTTGTTTCCTGAATTTTTCTGCCCTTAAAAATTCTACGACCTCTGCCGGGTTTGAACCTGTGTACCACGAGTCATGAGGTGGGAACGTTACCTCTAGACTACAGAGGCCACTTATAAAATATCATTCCTTCAAAACCAACCAAAAACACAAGATTCTTACAACAAAGACACACTATCATCAAACGAAAACAAATAAACTCCGTGGTATTAGTCTGCAAGCAAACTATACTGACTGAGTGACCACTGCTTGTCAGTGAAGTTAGTGCCAACTTTAGCGGATAGAGGGTGTTGCATGGTCAGCGCAATGGATCCCCACGGCCGTCGATCTCAGTTTTCTAGAGTGGAGCCGCTATTTCCTTGAAACAGGTCCTCAATTATCCTCACGAGGCTGAGTGGACCCCATTCCAGACCCACTACTTCACAGAAAATCTGGTAGTGTCAGGAATCGAACCCAGGACCTCTGGATCTGTAGCCAAGGAACTATAACCACTAGACCACAGAGGCGATCGACATACTATCATCACAAGCATTAAATGTAACTTACCAGGGTGACGGGAAGTGTAAGCTGTTCCACACAAGTAAGCATGAGAAGGTGCCGCAGTCTGTTATGGTATGTCACTGGTCTGTCCAGAGCCTGCTGCAGAGCCAAACGTAGATTGTTCAAGTATGGGGTCTCCTGAAGAATATATTTCTTATTGCACAATGGGGAACGAGCCATAGGGACACTAAACGGCTCACGAACTGAGTGGAGCGTGGGACTATATACTTCATGTGCATGAAGAACTGGTGCTTCCTCATCCTGCAACATAACACCCTTCTTTTATTACCATAAAATAATAAATATATCCAAATTTAAAGTACTAGGAAAGGAGGAAACCAGAAATAACTTTAGTTAGTTAGTTAGTTAGTTAGTTAGTTATTGGAGAGGGTGCGTTTCCCCATGCACTTAGACCTGTCTTGGTCCATTGCGCTTCCCTCTATGACTTCTACCAGTCTCTATATCCTACTGGTACTGGTGCTTACCATCAGTCCTGCCCAGCCAGCGAGACCGGCTCTACTAGTTGAGAGGTATCTATAATGCCTCCCCCATCTACTGGAGGTATTAGAGACTGCTGTTGGGCGGGAAACGTCCGTAATTTGGCTCAGTGTCCTCCTTTGGAGATATGAGGTTCTTTTATGTGCTGTAATGCTACAACATTGGACCCACAGCTTAAAGTCCCTCCTGGAGGACTTGTTCCCTGAATTTTTCCGCCCTTAAAAATTTGACAACCTCCGCCGGGTATTTGAACCCGTGTACTACGAGTCATGAGGTGGGAACGTTACCGCTAAACTACGGAGGCCGCTTAAAACTTTAGTTAGTTTTAGTTAGTTTAGTTAGTTAGAGAGGGTGGGTTTCCCCATGCACCGCGACCAGTTTGATCTATTGTGCTTCCCTCTATGATATTCTACCAGTCTCTATATCCTACTGGTACTGGTGCTTACCATCAGTCCTGCCCAGCCAGCGAGACCGGCTCTACTAGTTGAGAGGTATCTATAATGCTTCCCCCATCTACTGGAGGTATTAGAGACTGCTGTTGGGCGGGAAACGTCCGTAATTTGGCTCAGTGTCCTCCTTTGGAGATATGAGGTTCTTTTATGTGCCGTAAAGCTACAACATTGGACCCACGGCTTAAAGTCCCTCCTGGAGGACTTGTTCCCTGAATTTTTCCGCCCTTAAAAATTTGACAACCTCCGCCGGGTATTTGAACCCGTGTACTACGAGTCATGAGGTGGGAACGTTACCGCTAAACTACGGAGGCCGCTTAAAACTTTAGTTAGTTTTAGTTAGTTTAGTTAGTTAGAGAGGGTGGGTTTCCCCATGCACCGCGACCAGTTTGATCTATTGTGCTTCCCTCTATGATATTCTACCAGTCTCTATATCCTACTGGTACTGGTGCTTACCATCAGTCCTGCCCAGCCAGCGAGACCGTCTCTACTAGCTGAGAGGTATCTATAGTGCTTCCCCCATCTACCAGAGGTATTAGAGACTGCTGTTGGGCGGGAAATGTCCGTAATTTTGGCTCAGTGACCTCCTTTGGAGATATGAGGTTCTTTTACGTGCCGTAAAGCTACGACACGGGACCCACGGCTTAAAGTCCTTCCCGGAGGACTTGTTCCCTGAATTTTTCCGCCCTTAAAAATTCAACGATCTCCGCCGGGTATTTGAACCCGCGTACTATGAGTCATGAGGTGGGAACGTTACCTCTAGACTACGGAGGCCGCTTATAACTTTAGTTAGTATTAATGGGTTTTAGAGCAGCTTCAACAGCATGTTTAGTTAGTATGGACATCTCCAGTTATATTCAAATCACATACTTTTGAAATGTAAGTTAGACGTGCAGACCACTACATACTAAGGACCTGTATACCAGATGTAATGGCAAAGTGCTTGTCACGCCTACTTCATATCTGAGAGGTTCAAGGATACAGCTCTCCTAACTGAGATTCTTCATGGTTTTCCATCAGTCCATTCAGGAAAATGATATAATAGTATCTCAAATTATGTCACAACCACTCCTGTCGGTATCCCTTCCAGTTCTTTATTCACTATCATTATCATCATTGGCATAACAGCCCTTTTTGAGCCATAGTCTTCTTTAGAAGATTCTGCCAGATTTGTTCAGTCTTGGGAATTGGACCACCTGGCTTCCGCTACGTTGGATTTTGCAAGAGTAAATTTTTACAGAGCAAGTTCATCAGCATTGTGTCTGACACCCAACCTAGATGACCAGGTCTCTGTATTCATGTCCCCCAGTGACAGGGTGGCCCTGTTAAACCCCTAGGCACAGGGTTCTATTTTCATTCCCTTCTATGACTCACAGGACTATGATGGAGGTATTCTAACCTGCCTCCATGTGGAATTATTTATTCACTAATGATCCAAAAATTTAACACTATAATCTGAACATGCGAAAGTATCACTAAATAGTTCAAGAACAAATAGCCTATAAAGATCACATTTAAACCTCTCACCTCAAAGGGTATACAATTCCCAGGGACCTGCTGACCAGGACGAATCATAATTACATCACCAGTAACCAGTAATGCCCACGGCAGGTTTATAAGATGACCATCACGATATGTCCACTGCAGCGTAATGCACGGTGAGAATGGTGAACAGAGATGTGGATAGTTCTCCGGTAGCCAATAACAGCTTCTTGTAGCATCTGTTCACAATCCAAGGAGAAATATGTTATTTCACAAAATACTGCATATCTCTGCTTATCTATGGAACTAATGATGAAATTCCAATAGTACATGAATTCTCTATCTTTAGCTTGACAGCCATGGATAACTGGAAACTTTCAAATTAAAATACCAGCTTCTAAATTTAATGACTTGCATTTCATCAGAAAACACATTACAGATGTCTTCAGAGTTCTATGCATACAAATAGGTAACCAATAAAAAAGACAAAATAACCAATACTGTTTGAAGGTGGAGGGCACATGGTAGCATAGTTGGTTGAGGCACTATGCTACAAGCAGAAAAGATGCAGGTTCAATTCCTGATGAGGTCACTGTAATTTTCAATTGACCTAATCCTTCCTGCTGCACTATGGCCCTGGGGTCGACTAAGTCTCTAAGAGAAATGAGTACCAGGAAACTTCCTGAGGGATAAAGGGTGGCCGGAGCATAAGGCTGACAACCTCATCTGTGAGCTGAATGTCTAGAAAAAATGTGGGAGCCTCAACGTCTGACAACCCTATGGGCCTCCATGGCCTGTTAAAGGACAGCTTTACTGATTGAAGATATTTTCATCATGGTGAAATTCTCAGTACTTGTTCCATTCTGACATCTTTTGTGCATCCAATATCAGGGATTACACTTTTCAAATGTACAGTCATGCAAAGATAATTTGAACTGTCAATTACAAAAAAAGAAAAAAGAAAGAGTCCAAATTGGCCTGAAGCAGAGCAAGAACAAACAATGGAGCAGAACAGAGTCAAAATGAATGAGAAGAACCACTCCACACCCTTCTTTAAGGTTTGAGCAGACTAGCAGATGGGTGTTGTATGCATAATTTCTATATGCTAGAGGCCATGCATGGAAATATGACCATAAATATTATGGTCTTCTGAATGTGTCACCATGTAGTTTTGAAGATAGGTAAAAATGATTCAGAGGAAATGTGCTCCATATATTTTTAAAGATGGAGGTAGCAGGTTGCTCCAAAACTACACAGCATGATTTCTCAGATCATAATAATAAACTCACAACTGTGAAAATCTCAAATCTCATACAGCAACCACACAAATTTTAGATTGAAGAGGGGAAGATGATAAACAGTAAAAGCCTTCAGTAGGGGAACTGCAGGAGGCAGTAACAGGGTAACTGTGGTTTCAGTGTCTTAAGAAGAAGAAGCAGGGTGCAGAAGGATGATACTGCATTCAGATCTGTCTTTCAGTGGTCCTGTGGTCTTCATGCAATAGACGAGTTACACTGCTTAGTGCGAATAGTGGTGACAGCTTCTCAGATGCAAAATGTTCTCCTTCTTAGTGGGGGCGAGACTGAGTCTACTTGGTACTGCGGCCACTACTGGTCTCTTGTACCAGCCCCAGATGATAGATGATGATGATTGTGGAGTAACTGATGGAATGAAGATTGGCAGGGGAAACCAAAGTACTGGGAGAAAACCTGCCCCAGCACCACTTTGTCCACCACAAATCCCACATGACCAGACCCGGGGTCGAACCTGGGCCACCACAGTGGGAAGCTAGATGTGAAACATTTAAGAGAGTTAAATCGCAAGACTTCACAAAACACGCATACCTTTCAATTTTTCCAGCAGGTTACAAATTCTCTGTGGTATTTCTCCATATCTCAGGTTATTTTCTCTAGCGACACAAATTACGTTGATTGTGACAAACACCAGTATAACAATCCCTTCCAATGGCAAGCTGCTATTCCTGGCAAAAAAAAATGCTTCAATAAAACACTGTTATTGTAAATGGAAAACATATTTGACAGTCATGGTTACATTTCCCCAATTATCTTATGAAACAGCAAAATTCTAAACATCATCTCTCATTTTTTGGTTTCCTATTTAATTAGTATTCTGTGTACCAAAACTTAAATTTATCATGAAAAGATTATAAAAATTTATTATAATATGAACAATACATATAAACTTATAACAAAGTTCACACAGAATGCTCCCCAAGTGCACAACATAAAGGCCATTACACAGAACTATCCTATGGTGTGTCATAATTATAACAAAAAACAACATAATATCTACACAGCAAAAACCAACAAATACTGTACAGCCTTTTAGTTGATTTTTTGTGGGAAGTTTGGAAATGAATAGCATGCTGTCATATACCTTAACTGATACTAAAAATCAACTGAGTAATCAGACAAATTGAAGTACAGCCACTGTTGTAATATCTTGATACATATTTTGTTGCATAATGTTCAACACTGCCATTAAACATCCTTGTTTAACATCCTACCCACTTAATCTATGTACTAGATCATGACTTCATTTATGCCAGTTAACCCAGGCAATATAAACTACTGTATGACATTTTCTAACACTGAATTAATGAATTTTGAAGCCTTATGCCATATTTTAAAAGAAGAAAGCATTACACACCTCTGAAACATACTTATGAATAGCTAGAAGCCAGTACCTTAGATCACTGGATGCAAGGTAAGCCAGAAACAGCGCTAGAGAGTTTAAAATAAGGGCAAGAGCTGATGTCCAGCACAGTGTGGTGTATCGACTTTTGTGATGGAAAGTATCCTTCAGCCATGAACCATAGCAGCTGAAACAAGTGCCACAGACTTCGTTTAGAATGCCAGTGGCATATGAAATACTCCATGAAGCGTATTCAAATCTCTCCCTCTCTCTACACTGTCAAAAAATGACTGCACAATGAGGAAGGAGTCATAAAAAAGGTGTACAGAATAAATAAATCTTCCACATAAGAAATAAAAATAAGGTACACATCAATATTTTCCACTTATGTCTTTTATGCAAACCTTTGAGTACATTATGAGTCATTTTTAGATAACAGGAATTCATCAACAGGGCAGAATGAGTGTATTTTAAGTATATTTTTAGTGAAATTTCAAATTGCACTTTTCATTCTTATGACTTTTGAGACTAGGTGATAGATTGCTGAAAATTCTGATGCCAGCATAGTATGCAAGTATGAACTTTTCTGAAAACATGACAGGTTAGCAATCTGCCTGTGGATGTGGTGCAGGTTCCTTGTGTTAATACCATACAGCTGAATTAGTTCAAAAATGTTAGTGGTTATTTACAATGAAAATATGTACTAATCTTTTAAACAAATATATATTATCAAAACATTGAACAAACTTACAACATGTGTGCATTCATCCTCATTATACCATTCACCACTGAATATGTACTTTATATATGACTGCTAGGCCAAAGAAAAGCCATCACACTGTGAAGTAAAACACATACAAATAGCCTAGCCTAATATGACTCGAATATGGAATCATTTGGGAAGCTTAAAAATATGAAAAAATATAAGCAAAACTATTTAATTTCACTAATATAACTATAGACAACTAGTGAATGTGAAGTAGATCAGTGCAAGTAGTAAATGTAACAATTCACAGAAGCTAAAGTAAGGGTTCATCACTCATTTATTCGAAGTTATGATCTGCAAAAATTTTGTTCCTTCTTATGTTTTGTGTGGGTTGTTTCACCATAATACTTCTGATTCTATTATCTTTTCTAAGATGATGTAAGCTTTCAGATGCAATATCATACAATTACAAGAAAATGGCACAAAACTTCCAGTTTGTAAAACAAATATCTTTCTGAACTCATGCACTTATTCAAAATGTAAAGGCACATAAATTCTTTGGAAGAACACATCATAACATTTTTATTGGTGTAATGATCATAAATCGATTGCATTAATTTAACAGTCATCTGCACTATGTAAACTACCAATGTCTCACAACATAAATTACTATTACCTCTTTAGTTGGAATTCTTCATATTCACGCACAACAGTTTCGATACCTTGACATAAACGACTTAAAGCTTCCTGTGTGGTTAAACCCACACTACTGCCAGTTTCGGAATCCATAGTCAGCTCCTACCAAGAAAAAATAAATTACATTAAACAGGCATAAGATGTATATATGTGTATTAATACAAAAGTATCCAAAAGAAACTAGACACATATCAACATGAAATACTGTAAAATTATTAACAGGTAGTTCATGTTCTGTTCATCCTTTGGGGAACTGCCACTGTGACCTAAATTTAATGCTAGAAGTGTGCATGCATAATAAATTCTTAATCAGTAAACTAACAAAATATGTAATGATTGTTTACATCTAGCATGTATCATTATCCAGTATTTAAGAATTTATCATTAATACAGTCTTCAATTGAGTAGTAACACCAATTAATGAGTAAATTCTTCAGTTACCTTATAAATTGGTTTTTATTTTCAAGTGTACATAAAGTACCCTGAATTCTATGGATTAAATATGGGGTTTAATTCCATTTCAGAAATTTAAACTTTCTGTCAGATACCAAAAATATCACTGCATATTCAGCTTCAAGTAAAACCACAAACTTCCATGTTACCACTGGACCGAAATTATGGAAAATTTTGTCTTTAAGCTACATTACAGACTACATAAGATCCGCATACCAAAAACTGTTCCAAATGCGTGATCTTCGATTTACAACTGCATTTCAATTACCGAACATTCTATCAAAGTGACATTCCTGTCCTAACCATAACCTTAAAACCACATCTAGAGAACATGCCTTGCTGCCATTCCAACCGATTCCAACTACAAACTTCCAGCAGGAAATACAATTCCACAGCAGGCTATTATCTGGGACATCCCAAACAAAAGCTGCTGTTGCAAGCTCTCAGACACGAATCTAACCACCACGGCTAATACAAGTTATTCTACATGTTCTACATTACAAAGAACACGAAGAAACCAACGTATATCTCCTCTGATGACGGTTTGAAGATGTCTCTGTCACAGACTGGTCACTGATCTTGGTACAATTTACTAACGTACAAGGTTTCCATAAAGAGAACTTAAATTGTTACTCCTTCTGCACATATTTCGTGATTATTACGAAGAATTGTTCATAATTAGTCCCAATCATGTATCCTAACCACATATGGCCAATCCATACCAATGTAAAATATACATGTAAGAACTAGGACCTTCCCGCTTAAAGCTACGTCTCCGGCACCAATGACCGGTTAAGACGGTAACTTTCTTGATAGTTTTTAATACCCTTGGACTCCTAGACAAAGACAACTATACAAATATTTTGTTCTCAGGCAGAGCTATAATAACCAAGCCTTCATATTTACATATGTGCCTTTCTTAACTGTTGTTCGTAGAATATGACCCAGTCATAGGCTGATAAAGGAACAGTAAAATGCAAATAAATTCTAATTTTGGCACTACTTCGATTTAGGGGCACACACTATCTAATCCCAAGTACTACACATCAATATAACATCAGGCGGAACCGGCGAAACAGCTGTTCCATCTGAGTAGTGGGCGCCGGTTGAGGTTACTTCAGCCGTTGAAGAGAAGAGAGCGATTTAAGTGTGGGTGTGTTATATGGATAGCAAAATGAAAAAGAAAGGTAATTGCCCTGCATAGTTCTAATATGTTAAGTTGATAATTGTACCACTGTGTGTGCCAAGGTCAACCTTATGGAACATCAGTAGATTTTTGTTGTATTGTTTACCGTTATAAGAACTTCAAAAATATAGAGGTTAACGACATATCCTCAGCTGGCATTATTGTGCTTCTGATGATTATAAGACCCTAAACATTAGTGTGTTCTGTTTATGCTTTACAGAAATTGAAGAAGTTTTTGGTGGTATTCTGGAGAAGGAGCAGGATGTGTCGGCGGGTATGGCCGCAATTAGAACGCTGTTGACAGTTTTGGAACATGACACATGTAAGTGTGTACTCCTTGTAACAAAATTCACTGAAAGTGTTGTCGCAGTTTGTGCCCCCCCTTCCAATGCAACCGTCAAAGCAAACTCGTTTGAGAATTTGTTATAAAGACAGTTCTGTTATTGTTTTGAATGCTGAAGCAATGGAAGAGAACTTGCAGATGAGGCAGAGTTTTGGTCCCAGAGCTGTTCTGGGTCTAATGGTGAAGAGGTACATTTGTGGCTTCATGAGGAATTGAACCTCATAATACATGACTGATACATGATTGCATGTAAATGTGTTTAGTTCCATTGAATAATGTATGATTTCTAGGAAGACTTTATTTTGAGAACAGGGATACCTGTTAATTACTTCATAGTGTCAGACACCTATAAATATATCTCAACTTTTTGCAGCTGAAACAGTTCAGGAATTAGACTCCAATCTCCAAGCAGCTGTGGATGCAATGAAAAACACAGATTATCCTGTTACAGCAGTTGCATCGGGCTGTGAATTATTCCTGCGATTCATTACCCTTGCAAAGCTTGACACTAAGGTGAATTAATATTTTGCTTAAACAGTATAGAAAAGTTATGTCTGCTGTAAAATATTCTTTGGAGGCAATGTTACTCATATGATATTAATCTTTATTTGCAACAGACTTTTGGGGAGTGTAAAAGCATCATGTTGCATCGTGGTCAGCTTTTTCTGAAGAAACTAATGGAAGCAAGAGGAAAAGTCGCAAAATTGGCATCTTCCTTCATTGTGGACGGCTCTGTAAGAGTTCATAGAAAATGTGCTTGCTGTAATGTTTGTTACTGTAGAATGAAGTTCATAAAGAAATGATTTAGGAATTTTATTTTGTAATTTTTAGCGTGTCCTCATTCATTCTAAATCGCGCGTTGTCCTGCATGCAATGAAGGAAGCCGCTCGAGCCAACAAGAGATTTGAGGTTTACGTTACAATGTCATCACCAGACAATAGTGGGTATGTATGTAAAGAATACAGGGACCAAATAGTGGCAACTATACTGTAAATTATAGGATACTTCAAACATCTACCGAGATAATTCACTATAATTATATCAGATATTAATAAGGAAAATGTACAGAATTTTTCTGAGCCTTGTTTCAGAAAGCCACCATTTTATGAAAATCTCTTCTTAAAAGCTGCATAATTAAATGTATTTATGAAGATATTTTCAGTATACTTTAAGTAGGTAAAACAATTCAGGCACTGGGGTACCATGTAGGTAGGAAGGTGACACCAGATTTTAAATTTATGTCTGTACATGCATATTTTTCATGACTGCAGTACCTTATATTACTTATATAAATATGTACAGTTCAGATTATCCCTGTGTAATGAGAGCTTATTTCCCTTTGATGCAAGACTAGAAATGTGTCGCCTGCTTGAGGAAGAAAACATTCCCTGCACCGTGATCCTTGATTCTGCTGTGGGTTATGTTATGGAGCAGGTGGATATGGTTATGGCTGGTGCAGAAGGCGTGGTTGAGAGTGGTGGTATTATCAACAAAGTACATAACATTTATTCAATATGTTAAAGGATGAGTCACTGTGCACAGGAAATCCTACTCTAACACAGATTACACACATGCAAACAATTACTTTCCAAATCCAGACAGTTATTTTGCAAATAGAAACAATTTGATTATACATGGTCTGCCAAATACTTCATAGTGGAACATGAAAAATATCAGTAAATTAAGATAGTTCACAGAACAATTTTTCATCAGCTTATTTTGTATGGTCTGTGATATATTTCGTTCCTTCATTGTTGAAATAAACTTTTTTTTTGTAATGATATAACTGAAGCTTGTAGTATATTTTATATATTCACTCACATGTTGTTTCTGTCATTTCATAATTCAGTAATATACATAATAACAGAGGCAGGAAATACCATCTAAGATTTCTCCACACGGTTGAAGTAATACAACTTTCTTGCTGTTTATGTAATAGGTATGAAGTACTATGCCCAAAAAGAAAGTCACATTTATGTCTGTTTCTATATTGTGGTACATTTATCTGCATGTATTTTAAAATGTGTTTAGGTGGGCAGCTATACAATGGCTATCTGTGCACGTGAAATGAAGAAACCTTTCTATGTACTTACGGAAAGCTTCAAATTTGTCCGACTCTATCCTCTCAATCAGCGTGATTTGCCTAATGAATTCAAGGTGAGTGCTTATTTCATTGAAAAATAACAGGTGTGTGCTGTGGCATGACACTCAGTATACTTGTTACTATTAGAACTTTTGCCATCATGTACAGGTGTCTTAATGTACGTTATTTAACAGCATTATTTCAAGTGCAGTGAGTGCTGAATGAGATGGGAAGATGATCGTGAATGATGAGTATGTTAAGGATTTGGAAGTGGGAGCTTAATTTTTTTTTTTAATTCGCTTAGTGGGGGTGGACAACTGGGTCCACTCGGCCCGACGGCCACTGATTGGCCTATTGTAGCCTGTCCCGGTTGATTATGATGGAGAATTTGGTGGAATGAAGATTGGCAGGGGGAAACTGAAGTACTTGGAGAAAACCTGCCCCAGCACCACTTTGTCCACCACAAATCCCACTTGACCAAACCCGGGCCGCCGCGGTGGGAAGCCAGTGACTAACCGCTTGAGCTGTGGCACGGCTGAAGTGGGAGCTTAATCTGTTTGAGGATAGTATCCCAGCATTCACTTGGAGAGGCTGATGAAAACCATGAATAATCTAAATCATGATAGCTAATAGCCCCATTGAGATATCAACTGGGTAACTTCAGAAGAATGCGCAATTGTTTCACGGTTTATTTCATGAGTCTTTCAGCTGCATACATTATACAGCATCAGATTAAATGGAATGATCATGAATGCCAACTAGATTACAATATGAAGACAGTCATGGTACAGCTCCTGCATTTCTGTGGAAAGATTCAAACTGGGTATCTCCGAAACACAACTTTACAGTAATTTACTCAAAACGGGTCCTCAAATACCTGGCAAGTTTAAATTTACTGGTGTAAGGACTGCTGCTTTGAGAGCAGAGAACTAAATTATCCTCCTCTGCCATGTATATGAGACATGCTTCAAAAAGGTTATTACAGTGTGAGAAAGTGACTGCACCTAGCAAGTACGTTGCATAGGAATTAATAATGAGCGTGGAATGTTGTAACTAGGAAATTATTATTTTAGAGTCAGTCTTTCCCAATCTATTTGTTTTTAATGGCATTTCAGAACATTTCTTTATACTAGAATTTGTTCCAGCAGTGAACGATTTATATACCTGTCGTGAGTGAAGTATTTACCAAAAGATGCCACTCCGAAATGTCCAGATTTAATATCATTATATAGCATAATAAGTTGGTTTTAATCGTGATGAAAATTATTTTACAGTACACATCAAGCAAATTAGGCAAGGATCTGACTAAGGAACATCCTCTTGTGGACTATACCCCACCAAGCTACATTACATTACTGTTCACTGATCTGGGCATTCTTACACCATCTGCTGTGAGTGATGAACTTATCAAGCTCTATTTGTGAAACATTAAGTATACCTTTAAAGCACTGTATAAAATAGATAATTTTATTGTACAAATGAATATCGTTTACTTAATGCATTCCTATTTACTTACTCGTGGAGCTGAGCCCTTCTGGAAGAGCCGCCAATTCTGCAGCTACTCAAGAATTTCCCAGCATTTTATGGAACCCGAAGGTTCATCACCATGTTCACAAGAACTCTCAATGTGGCCTCTTTCCTTCTGGCTTTCCCACCAATATCCTATACGCATTCCTTGTCTCTCCCGTTCGTGCTACATGACCTGCCCACCTCATCCTCCTTGACTTGATCATTCTAATTATACTAGGAGAATAGTACAAGTTATGAAGCTCCTCATTATGCAGTTTTCTCCAACCTCCTGTCACTTCATCCCTCTTCGGTCCAAATATTCTCCTCAAACACTCTCAGTCTGTGTTCCTCCCTTAATGTCAGAGACCAACTTTCACACCCATACAGAACCACAGGCAAAATTATAGTTTTGTAATTCTAATTTTTATGTTTTTGGACAACAGACGAGAAGACAAAAGGTTCTGGACTGAATGGTAGCAAGCATTACCTGAGTTCAATCTCCTCTTAATTTCCTCCTGAATCAGGTTTTGATCTGTTATCGTTGTTCCCAAATATCTGCACTGTGCCACATTTTCAAAACATCTGTTTCTTATCTTTCTGTCATGCTTTTCCCTGCATTTTGGTGACGAGACAGTAATATATACTTAGTTTTCTCTGTGTTTACTTCTAGACCAACCTCTTTACTTGCGTCAATTAAAGTTTGTGTGTTTTTCTTTATGGTATCTACATTATCACCCAGTAGATTCACATCATCGGCGTAGACCAACAGCTGATGTGTCCCGTTTAATTTCAGTCCCACCTGGTTTCCCTGGACCTTCCTAATTGCATATTCTAAGGCAAAGTTGAAAAGGAGTGGCGATAAAGCATCTCCTTGTTTTAGACCATTCTGGATAGGAAATTTATCAGACAAATGTTTACCTACACAGACTTTACTATACGTTTCGTTTAAACACATTTTAATCAACCTAACTAGTGTCATGGGTATCCCAAACTCTATTACAATATTGTACAATACTTCCCTCCTAACTGAATAGTAGGCTTTTTTTTTAAGTCTATGAATAGCTGATGTACTGTCTCTTCGTACTCCCACTTTTTCTCCAATATCTGATGAATGCAAAAGATCTGATAATGCATTCCTAATGCTTTAAATAAACCTGTGCTAGACTTCTCACAACCCTATGGACCTCAATGGCGTGTCAAAGGGATAGCTTTAACTTACTTTTTAACCTTTATATCATTATTGCTGATAAATGAAGAAGTCACATATTGTTCTGTCTTTATGAAGGAAATTTACTTCCATCCTCAAAATACCTGGAACCAATCATTACTGGACCTCTAGAAATAAACTTGTCCACTTGTCACGTGCAAGGTAATAAATAACGGAGACAGGCATAAAATATTTCAGTTCTGAATGGGTCTTAAAAACTTTATGTTAGCATTACTATGTTTTTTTGATATATCCATCATCCAGTATCAAACATGGCACTGTTCTGGAAACTGGATCTGTTTCCATCCTCTGGTGAAAAGTAAGGTGGACAGTAAGCTACTCAGTAGGGCCACGCCATAGCTCAAGCAGTTAGTAGCTGGCTTCCCACCGCGGTGGCCCGCGTTCGATCCCGGGTCTGATCAAGTGGGATTTATGGTGGACAAAGTGGCGCTGGGGCAGGTTTTCTCCGAGTTCTTCGGTTTCCCCTGCCAACCTTCATTCCACCAATTGCTCCAATTCCACCCTCACCTATCACCTGGGGCTAGTACAATAGGCCAGAAGTGGCCGCAGTACAAGGGACTTAGTCCCATCCCACTAGCAGTTAAAAAAAAACTATTCAGTCAGATCCATTAAAGATAATCTTAATCAGTGGACAACCTAAGTCGGTGTACTACTACAGTATGTAAACATCAAAGTCAGGTTTTGCCAGCGGCACACACATACCCACCCCCAGGCCATGAGAATGATGGCAGAGAAAACAGGAATATGAAATACTCAAAAACTTTTCAAATAAAATCTAATATACAAGACAGATTCTACATGTAGGTAGTTAGTACAAAAATGTTTTAATTGTAAACTGTACACTTGAAACCAGTAATACTGGAGCTCAAATTAATGTACCCCACAGGAATTGTAATACACAGTTGCATAAATTATTTTAGTAGGTTTCATCTGAATTACATAAGAAACTACTGCTGCTGCTTGTCTGCTTCACACATTCACTGACTTCCAAAATAGTCTACAGCAGTACCAGTAATAGTTATCATCATAATTATTCATCACATGAATTCATACAAATATCTCCTTATGTTAAAACTGACAGTCCTGAAACAAAAAGACAAAGTCAACTTGAGTATATTTGTTTCTCATTACATGAAGGGGTCTTTTCACCCTTTGCAGTCCCATGTCAGACAAATATCCTACAGCGTGAACAACTGTCAAACAAATTAGTTTATTGTCATCAATGTATAGTTATTTGTAGTTACAATCTGTAAGTGGTCAGTATATCCAATTATCAACCCAAATCCTGTCTACAGTCACTCATACACAACTGGCATCAGAAGTGGTTATATTGGAAAATGCACTGGAGGGTGACAGCTGGTGTCAGTGGTTGGATTAGAGACCGCCATAAGAAGCTATATTGCCACACTATGGAGATGGAATAAATGATGGCATGCCTGCTGGCTGAAATAAGAACCAACCAAGAACGCCTGAAAGAAGAAACAATGGCCAAGGTAGACTCCCAGCTAGAGAAAATGGAAACCACAGTGGATGACTTCGAAGAAAGATTCAACAGAATCAACACCACAGATTTGGAAGCCAATCAGGAAAAGTCAGAGACCACAGCAAAGCAGCAGGATGCCCCTAAGAAAGAAGTTATGGTGGAAACAATCGGAGCACTGGTGGACCAATATAGGGACCGGAATCTAGCCGTAGGGCGCAGCTGACAGCCAAAGAACTGGACCTAGAATGACAGTGGGTCCTGGCAGAAGTTGGGTGCTACCTGAGGACGGTTGACCTGCCACACCATTCCTGCACTTGCATGGGACATAATTGTCAGGGACCAGGCAAGGGTGATGTAGTATGCGGAACCTGTAAAGGACGGAAGTTCAAGAAGAGATGCTGGGTGTGACCTAAATGCAAATGTGGCACAAGGCACTGATGCCTAAGATGGCAGCTACGTTTAGGAAGCAAGAAGGCATTCAACAAAACAGACCATCAGGCAGATTTTTGGAAGGTCATGAAGTGAGTAATAGGGATTTCCATCAGGTTACAGGAAGTGAGTGACTGGACATTGTGTAGGGTTCAGCCACCTCTAAATAAAAATAAATTAGATTATGGAGGGGTCAGCCGCCTCCAAAACGAAAGAAGAGACTACCAGCAGCTTAAAAGCCAGATATGTATGAGCACTGACCACTCTTGGAACTTTTGCCTGCACCAAGTAGAAAAGAAGATTGATGGTACATCTGGAGCAGCTCACACCTTCTCGGGAAGAGCAGCAGGAGCTGTTGGAGACTAATCACCATTAGAGCTGAGCCAGGGTGAAGGAAGGCGAGACCAGTCACAGATGTCACACGCACAGCCCTTGGAAAAGAAGAAATGGCAGTACGCTTAAGAAGGGGGCAATATGGCATGTAGACCCGTTGTAAACAACGTCCATTGCTGGCTAGCAGATTCATAACATGCACCAATGGAAAGAGTGTGCTCTATATGATCCGTGTGATAGCTGAGTGACGCAACAACAGATGAGCTGCTGGATACATGTTTTCTGTGCAGTCTGTACTGAGGTGTTATAAGCAGAAAAAGTCTAGAGTTTAGTTAGTCGTGACATAGCAGCCAGTAAGGACATAAACATGATGGAAACTGAGGAATCTGCATTGTTGGAAGCCATAAACAACCAGACAACCAATGAAAACAAGGAGACTAAGATGACAAAATGCATGCTGTAGTGAATTGTAGTGTGAGTTAGCAATAGCCCTATAGTTACTTGTAGTTATGATCTGTAAGTGGTCAGTAAATCCAACTACCAATCCAAACCCTATCTATAGTCACTTATAAACATGACAATATAAAAATATAGCTACTATCTATTATCAATAAATGTCTTGCTAGACAGTTTTCTGTTCCACTATATACACACATTACAGAAAAAATGAACTGATATAATTGCTACTAACCTTGCAACAGTACTGATAAATTCAAAATCCACAGCACATTTGTATCGTGGTAAATCAATGTGATCATCACCAACAATTGTGAGTAGCTGCAGTCTCAACAGAGATGACATCTGCATCAGTAAAAGGCAAAAAAATTCACTGCTAATTTCATTGGCCAGCGTAATTCAGCTGTGACATTCTGGGCATGAGGCTTATTAAAATGTTCTAGAAGTTATTCGTCCATGTATTCCATAAAATATTCATCATACCAAAAGAAATTCAAGCACAGTTAAGTTTGTGGTCCTTTGGGTTGTGACATTCTGCAGTCTTGTAGGTGGATATAGATGTTTCAGAGGAACATGTTGCCTTCATCTTCAGGATCAGTTGCATAGTGTCACAAGCCAGAAGACCATAATCGAGTAAACATGAAAACTTCAAAGTGTACATGATTAAAATAATGAGATCTATATTTTATGTTATGAGTATATACAAAGTTTTTGCAAAATTAGCCATTTCTGACAAACACTTCATTTGCTGTCATATTAATCTGCTGCATGTGTAGAAACAAGAATGGCACCTATTGTATTACTCAGTGTTATTCCAATTTTGAAATGGATTACGTCCAGGATCGTTCTCTGATCCAGGCTCCTAACGCATATTCTGTTACTAGCAAATCGCAGGAATAAGCGTGCTATTCAAGGTGCAAGCAGTTAAAACAGATCTTTGTAACACACAAAACAAAGAAAGCATTGGAACTTTCAAGAGCAAGTCTGTTACAGGACGCAAAGTTCAATTCACAGGTGAACTTAATATAAATAGGGCTATTATTTAACTCTCAATTTATAACAAAATACATATATCTTCCACTTAAAATAAAAGGAATTAAAATCAGACACTGCTCTTATTGGTAATTTTAAATTTAAGTGTTTAGTTTGTGTAATTCTTGCATATTTATGTTACAAACTAAAATATGAAACTTAATTTAAACATGGTTACATATAAAAAAAGTCCATAAAATAGTGTTATGCAAAATGTATAAAAGCTCACTAGTTTTATAACATTTTAATAATAGATCCCATGGAACAAAGTTAAAAATATTCTGATGTGTAATATCTCAGTTGGTATACTGATGGCCTACAGGCTGGATGGTCTTTTCCACAGCATCTAGGCTGGCTCTGGGGACCACCCATCCTCCTATCAAATGGGTACCATGGGCTGGGTCCCTGGGGGTAAAGTGGAAAAAGCATGAAGCTGACAACTCACCTCGATCTAGTACCAATGTCAAGAATGGTGGAGCTATGCCTCCAGTTCCCCATACATCTCTTGGTATGGTGCTTAATTAATTAAGCACAGGGATGACTTTTTTTTCCTTGGCACTACAGCCCCAGTGGGCCTAGGCCTACCTCCATGAACTTCTCCGTTCACTTCGGTTTTTCTAGATCTTACATGTTCGGTAGGACTCCTTGGCGGGTGATCAGCTCGTCGCAAAGCCTCTACCTGTACACGAACACAGAAAAACGCACACACACAAACTAGACATCCATGCCCTGAGTGGGAATCGAACCCACAATCCCACTTTCCAAGCAAGCAAAGACAGTAGATGCCTTAGACTGCTCGGCTACCGTGACCGGCCCAGGGATAACTTTACCTTCTGTAATATGTATCAATTTATGGAGATTTTATTATTGTTGGGAAGAAGTTTGTTATGGAAACAAATGAAATACTGTTAATTAAAAAGGTCATGTCAATCTGTCATCCATATTTTGTTACCTGTGATAAAAGACTGGCAGTCAGGTTCACATCCTCTCCAATAATGGCATAAAATATTGCAAGGAGCCTGTCCAGAGCAAATGCTTTAGGACCCAATAGTTGCTCTGGTTGTTTTCTCTTCTGTCGCTTCTTCTTGCGGTCTTTACCACGATTCTTTACAAAAATATGACGGTCTGCCTTAGCAGGGTTGTAAGATGCCAGATATGCAGCAATGAGAAAAAACTTGGCATAGTAGGGTAGATCAAAACTCAGAACATATGTTTCAGATGAAGACAGAGCTGCTGGCTTCAAAGTCTCTTCCAGACTATAACTTTAAGAAAATGAAAAAATATAACAATCAATTCTGGATAGAACTCATAAAATCTGCTTTATTATGNCTTATTTATTTATTATTATTATTATTATTATTATTATTATTATTATTAGAGGGGTGGGTTTCCCCATGCACTTAGACCAGTTATTGGTTCATTGTGCGTCCCCCTTTAATTTCTACTGTTGCCATACCCTACCAGTACTGGTGTCTGCTATCAGCCCCGTTCAGCCAATGAGATCAGCCCTCAGTACCTGATATTTCACCCATCTACCAGAGGCATTGGAAACTACTTGGGCAGGAAACTTGTTGCCTAATTTTGCTCAGAGGTCTCCTAGAGACATGACGATCTTTTATGTGCCGTAAATCTATGACACGGGACCCACGGCTTAAAGTCCGTCCCAGAGGACTTGTTCCCTGAATTTTTCCGCCCTTAAAAATTCCACGACCCACATACCTTGAGTCATGAGGTGGGAACGTTACCTCTAGACTACGGAGGCCGCTGACTTTTATTCCTATAAATCATGTGTTCTGACACCATATTTAGGTAAGAGAAATCTCTAATCCAACAACAGAAAGCAATTTCTCCTATGAGTTAGCATTGTGGACCTATGTGCTGATGGCCATACCCTCATATCCTAGTCAGCTCACACTTGTTTTATTATTTGCAAGTGTAAATATTAAATTCCTACTGCCACCACCACCGGCTGTGCCATAGATCAGGCAGTCAGTCACCAGCTTCCCACAGCAGTGGCCCATATTCAGTCACAGGTCAGGTCATGAGAGATCTGTGGTGGACAAAATGGGAATGGGCCAGTTCCCCTACCAATTCTCATTCCATTGACTGCTCCATATTCATTAATCACCTTATCATTAATGCTACATTGTCTCAGTACTGACAGTGTCATTAACCAAAACACATCTACTGTTTCTACTAGTAACAGAGGATTCTTTTGGGGGCAAACTTATTATTTGCTTACAGATTTTATATTTGCATTAAACTTTTTGTATAAAACCTCAACATTATGGATGATTGCCATGGACTTAGTTCATACAGAATCCGTAGATATTGTTTTGGTCTAGATTGGTAGCAAACTTTATAGGCCTATAAAAAGCACAGGGTAATTTTAGGGTATGCTTTTGAGAGAAGAGAATGTGTCTTATACATTACCAAATACAGTACTTAGTTATTTAGAGAGGGTGGGTTTCCCCATGCACCGCGACCAGTTTGATCTATTGTGCTTCCCTCTATGATATTCTACCAGTCTCTTTACCCTACCGATAAATGGTGCGTACCATCAGTCCCGCTGAGCAAGCAAGTTTGGCCACTTGCTNGACCTCTGCCGGGTATTTGAACCCGCGTACCACGAGTCATGAGGTGAGAACGTTACCTCTAGACTACGGAGGCCGCTAAATACAGTACTTACTTTCCAAAAGATAACTGTAAAATTATATGTACCTGGATGCTGTCCTAAGATATAGTTGTGCTAATGATGACCGGAGGTGTGGTGTTATATGTCTCCACAGTTTGTTAACATCATCCATCTTTGACTCTCCCTTTAGTATTGGATCACAATATTTTGGAAAATTGAGTTGCGCCTGCAACATTCATTGCCGTATAATAATGCAGTTTAGAATTGAATAGAGTTTTGCACTGAACATTGCGGTTGTGTTACTTTGTACCTGAGAGGCTGATTATTCTGACAGGTTTTCAGTAATATTTTGGTATAGTATTTTAGAGGGGTCAGGATCATTCTTTTATACCCTTTTCATTGCATTACTTATAATAACCTGTAAATTAAGATATCAGCACATAAAAGTAAGTAAAACTATCCCTGTACCAGGCTGTGAAGCCCNTCATAGGGTTGTGAGACGTTAAGGGTCCCACATTATCTAGACAATCGGCTCATAGATGGCGGTAAGGTTTTCAACCTTACACGCCGGCCATGCTTTACTCCTCAGGAAAATTATTTAATTAATTCCTAGTACTCATTTCTGTTAGAGGCTGAGTCGACCCCAGGGCTGGAAGGATTAGGTCAATTGAAAAAATTCCAGTGACCTCATTGGGACTTGAATCTGCGACCTTCCGGCTTGTAGCATAGTGCCTCAACCAACTACGCTACCGCGTGCCCCAAGATATAAGCACATACAGTATTTTATTTTTAAAATGCTGGCAAGGAGCTCTGGTAATTAAATTAGGCAAGAAAGGGCAGTGTGACCCATTCAGTGCTACACGTATATAACATGTAAACTAAGATACACACAAGTTATTTGAATAATAAATGGCCCCGGATTGATTTTCTTTCCTTTGGGAGGGGGGGGAATCTTATGGTTCTTCATTTGGTAAGAGCTGTTACCAGTCATAATTACAGCTGTTTACTTCTTCGGGATGTGAACTAAATCTGTATATGTGTATGAAAGAACAAGAATGAAAATACAAAATAAGTACTCATAACATCCCTTTTGTCTAATTATCTCAAAATTCATAAGACTTGTGAAGAAAATGTATTACAAATAAAATGCAGTTTCCATGTTTCTCTAGAACTATGTTCATATATTTTTCTTTCTAATAAGTATTGATATGCACAGAAAAGCATGTAGTTCTTCATGTAAAGTTATTGAACATATCCAATGTAAATCAAAATTCACGTGTCTCAATACTTTTCATAAAATTCTCAAATATTAAATTTCAAAATTCATCCTCTGGTTTTCAAATTGTTCCATGCGTAGTGTACGCACTGATGGGTGGATGGATAAACAGTGAAATTCCTAGGCACTCTGCAAGATTATGAACACGCCTAAAATTATATGTCCAATTCGTATCTAGTGATGAAAATGTAGTTTAAATCCATTAGCTCATGAAAATGGCTATATATTATGATGATGATTAAGACTTGACTTACCATATATCTCAGTTCGTTGAGATCTCGGCATGCTCTATAAAAGATGCCCAAGAAAAGTTTCACATAGCTGCAGTATACATCATCTGGCCATTTGTCTCCTGATGGACGATCCCGTAACAAAATTTCCACAAGCTCATCTGTTGAAAAAATAAACCAGGCTCTAATTAATAAGCACATAGAACTAGAAAAATGCTTGTTTTATGTACAATGTAGGGTATGTAACTAAATTCTGTACGGTGCAAAAGCAAACGAGACTACTGGAACAGAAATTTTAATCCTATCAAATAACTGATCATTATCCATGACAATTGGTGCACTTCTGTCAACAGCAATCCATTATTTTGTCATCAGAATTAATGTGAAAAATACAGTAACTATGAGATGCCTAGTTTTTCGTTTAAACATTCTTGATTTTCAACAGTACCTTTTGTATACTGCGGAAAATGGATTTGTATTGGCTCCTGGAAGCCTTCCCTTATACGGAATTTTTCCCACACAACATCACTAAGGAGAAAGACACACAGATGGAACATCTTAGTCAGTTCTTGAAGCCGAAGAAATGCTGGAAGAAGGGTGGTATCCATATCTCGGAGTTTCTCACATTTGTCCAGAACCTGGAATAGTATATCAGTTTACACTATTTGAATTCTCTGCCTATGAGAACAGTATCATGAGACTTAAGATTCTGTTCTGGATGCTGTAGTCTTAAGTTGTAATGGTATATCTAAGGTAATTTTTAAACAAAAGCAGATAAGTACTGAAATCATGTTTGTTTTTCTACATGTTATCCCTCCTTATTTCTCCAGCAGCAAATCTGTAACTTGCTTGGATATGAGGTCCACTGTTAACATGACAGTGGCATATTTTAATGTAGAGCTGTGGAGAAAAGTTTAGAGCAAACACAATAACACGGGGAGACACAGTTATAGTTAGTGCCTTGTAACTTTAGCCGCACGGAAAGGTAAACGCTGTTGTGGAGCACGCGAAGCTGTACGGTTGCTGTGGTGACGTTCAGAGCTACTCCCTGAGCGGGAAACATTGCCTACAGAGACCAACTAACAAGCAACACAACATACTATACACCTGACCATGCTTCAAGACGCTACATTCCAAAGTGGTAACACCCACGCTGACATAAGCTGATAAGACTGCTCCCCCAGCTCCGTGAGAGATGGTATGACTCCTCTAGCACGGCTAGAGTTCCAAGGAACTAACAGTACTCTTATGAAGAAGTGTGTATGTATCACTACAAGACATCACACAACTGATTCAGCTGCATTTAATGCAATGTTGTATCATATAGTGACAAACACTCACAATTACACATGGTTTCTTCTCCTGGGCCACAATTTTTGAGTTTTTGAGGCAACTGACAAAATCCATCATATTGTCACAGCTAGCATATGGGGCATACTTGTTTGCAGAAGACAGTTCATGTCCTGAAAAATTAAACAAGGAAGTATAAGTCACATCTTCAAGTCATGCATTCAGCTTAGGATAAACATTATGCAGCCCAGTGTACTTTGAGTCTCAGTGTAATCTCCATTATATGATAATATTGAAATAACAAACATATATTATTCACAAGGAATACAGAATAAAATGATGATCCTCTGCATAATAGAGATCTCTGACAAGAAACATTACATTACATATATACATGCTATGCATTTGTAAAATAATTCCTTACAGCAAGGTACAGAGTATATAGGTATTTTTGTACTGGGGATTTGGATCTTTCTTTAAGAAGACATTTTCATTTTTTACTACATCCTCTATTTTTACATATTTCTTCTTATTCTGGAGTTCCCAGGTTCAAACTTTGGTCTCAACAGAGACTATCTTAAGGTGCTTCACAGTTCTCCTCAGTTCCTCAAGATAATTCTGTGACAGTAACTTAAAACAAGCTGTGACTGCTTTCTTCAACATAATTCCCAATGTATAATATGGCATGTAGACCCACTGCTAGGTAATGATTGCGAAATAAGGAGCTATACAACAGCCATTACTAAGTAATGGCTCTGTAAGTAACAGCTGTTGCTAGGCAATGACTGAATAGTGACTGAGGTGGGTTCAAATACCTCCACCATAGCCCTGCGAGTCATAGGAGACAAAAAGGAAACCCAGTGCCTGGGGGGATACACTGGGCCAACCTGTTCCTGGGGGATATAAATACAGGGACCTGGCCCTCCAGGTTGTAGGAATCTCAAATCTGAGACCGTAAAATATGTCATGAGCCTGTGGGCCTCAGCCCCAAGAATGATTGCACTGGTGAGGGCCAGCAGCAATTGCAAATGACAGACCCATCCTCTCGTCAAAGAGGGCGCCCCACTTCAACAAATTATTAACATTTTTTTTTTTTTATTTGTTTCATTCTGGTCCGTCACATTAACAATTACAAAGTATAAATCACTCCATCCAATGTGACCTGTAAGTCTTTTACTACATTTCTATTTCTATGTTCTATTCTGTGTACTGTGTGTTGTAACATATAAGTGTATGTACTTTGCGTGTAAACAAATTATGTGATAGTGGTTTCCTTTTTGTAGTGATGTTTGCCCTCTGAGGATGGTCCACAGAGACCGAAACATGTAAGGGTGTTAAGTTTTTATGTAGTAAAAGACTTACAGGTCACATTGGACGGAGTGATTTATACTTTGAAACCATTAACTGTCTGACAGTAACAAAAATCTGGTCTTGGGCCCAGATGGGAACTTGACACCAAGACAGACTGGCCAACTGACCGTCGGTCATAACATAACTTTGAGTTTGGTCAGTCAACATTTCTGTAGCTGAGGCTGGGACCAATTCGGGAACCCAGAGGAAGGGGAATGTCCGCCACTGAAAGCTGCTAGCAAGCAACGGCAAGTGAGGACTGTAACTGACTGAGAAGATTTAAGTGTGTGCTCTAGTGACTGTAAAGCATGTGGATAAGCAAAACAGTTACAATTACTTGTAGCTACGGATATGTAAGTGTTCAATAAATCCAATTACCAATCGAAACCCCATCTATAGTCACTGCATACATATGACAATAATTATCCTCCAATTTGATGCTAGACAACAAATGCAGTTGAAAAGATGTTATTAAATAACTCAAGCAATGGTCTACTTTTGGCTAAAACAATACCAGACACAAATGAGGCAAATTCTGAATATGATGCATGTGATATAAATAATTTTAATTAAACAAATCCAGTTCTAAATTAAAATGTGGATCCTCTGAATCAAAGCTAATCTTCCGTAACCCCTTTAGTGGCCTGGAGTCTTCTCAAACTGTGGCTGTAAATGCTGTATGGTAAAGGTTGGTTTCACATAGATTAGCGTCTTTCTTTCACTCGATCATGTAAAAAGAAGTTGAGAAATCATGGAAGTAATAGTTGGTGTCCACTGCCATGTCACATTCCATGATAAACTGCTGTTGACGGTTATATATAAATATTTAGATTCTGTATATTAAAGAAATAAGAGTAAAGGGTATACTTGGGCCACACCATAGCTCAAGCGGTTAGTCACTGGCTTCCCACCGCAGCGGTCCAGGTTCGATCCCGGGTCTGGTCAAGTGGGATTTGTGGTGGACAAAGTGGCACTGGGGCAGGTTTTCTCTGAGGACTTCAGTTTCCCCTGCCAATCTTCATTCCACCAACTGCTCCACAATCACCCTCACCTATCATCTGGGGCTGGTACAATAGGCCAGAAGTGGCCGCACTACAAGGGACTTAGTCCCACCCCACTAGCAATAAAAAAAGGGTATACTTAAATTGACAGGAGACAGACAGACTGATGGGCATAATCTTTCATTTATGTTTTACTTTTCTGCACTCGTAGTGGTTGAGGTGCTAGGCTACAAGCTGGAAGGTTGCAGGTTCAAATCTCGATGAGGTCATTGGATTTTTTCAGTTTACCTAATCCTTCCAGCCGCACTATGCCCTGGGGTTTACTCAGCCTCTAACAGAAGTGAGTACCAGGAATTAGTTAAATAATTTTCCTGGGGAGTAAACCGCGGCTGGCGCGTAAGGCTGATCTTACCGCCATCTTTGAGCCATCTGTCTAGACAATGTGGGACCCTCAACGTCTCACAACCCTATGGGCCTTCACGGCCTGTTACAGGGATAGCTTTACTCTTTTTTACTTTACTTTTGAGTATAGAACACAGACAGTGGTAGTATTGTTCTTGCTCACAACACATATATGGAATATTAGCTTCATCCTTTCTCTTTCAAGTTTGCTATTTAATGATGGTGTCAGCACCAATACTATATAGCACTGATGATAGGGTGATTAATGAATAGGGAGCAGTTGGTGGAATGCGAAATGGTGGGGGAACTGAAGTTCTCAAAGAAAATCTGTCTGAACACCAGTCTGTCCATCACAAATCCTAATGACCTGTTTATTTACTTCATATATACTGTATTATTGCTTAAATATTCCTTATGACACCTTGCAGAAAGCAGCATATGTAGGCAATATCAAATTATTATGTAGAACACTTTAAATTTCTGCAATAAGCATTGATTACGCAGACAGAGGAAGGAGGATAAATGTGTGAGACATGTTGGAATTGTTATGTAAGTGTCAATTTGTCATTTTAAGGTTCCACTAATAAAACTTATATGACTATTTTAAGTATGTGTCTTTCTGAATTTTGTACAACTCACTTTCAGTTTATAAACTGTGTACTATTAAAGACACAGAATCATACCTTAGAAGTGTAATATATATATATATAAAGTGGTCTTTAAAGTCCCTTTTATACTGTAAATATACAGTGGCTGATTATGGGTAATTCATGTACCAGTCTGAGTATATATAGCATAATTGATATAGGAATGACAATTAATTATATTCACCATGTATCTTGTTGAGTATTGGTTCAAAAAGTAATTGTGGCATGTAACATTCAACACAGTTTACTACAGCATGGATGTACTGGAGTTCCTCCAATACACGGGTGACCACCAACGTTTTTCCTGTCGCAGTATGGCCGAACACAAATATTGCTGGTGGTACTGGTTCCCCTGGCTAATAAAAGTAATATTACATTGCAACTGTTTATGATATTTCATACACTTGTCAATTCAATGCACAGTGCACATTAATATCCAGAATATCTGTATACTTAATCTCAAGATCAGCTATTGTGGTTCAGAAGTCTCAATTAAGAGTTTCTTCAGTCTCCTAGAAGTGTTGTAATAAAACAGTTCTAATTTAATGGGCATTCCTGCTATTGAGTTCAGTTACAATTATGATTACTAGAAATTACACACATCATTCTCAATGCACGAGAGAAGGTACCAAAAGCTTGTAGTGGGTATGTCATGCCAAAGAGGCTGAACTTATACAGGCGGCACCATTCTGAAATCTCAGTTGGCAGGAGTACCATCATTTTACCTGACTTGTCATTAGGTATGCAGGAAAAGGGTGCTTTGAAATAGGTCTTAATTCGTAATTCCTTTCCCTCCACGAACATCCATATGTCAAATCTCTGATGCATCATACATAACACTGTTAAAAGTACAATGTTCCCACTACACTATATAAATTAGTGAAATATATTTAAAAATACTGGTATTAAGTAATAATTTAGCTTTTGTATCAGGAAGAACACTAACAGACATACTTCAACCAGAACAGGGCGCAACATACAAATTTTTAACTTTCTGGGCACTATATATTGTCATATTTTTATCTAGAACTCTTTGGAGACTTGACTCTCCCTGTCCTCAGGTAAATCTCCCTGCCCTCAGGTAAAAAGCCTACTCTGCTGGGCTGAATTAATACAGCTAGTCCCTATCTCTGGACACCAGAACTGACACAATGCAGGATATATAAACCAAACACAAATCCTCTGTGGGAGTTATGACAAGAATTTAAAATGTCACATTCATGAGGCCAACACCGGTGGCCATGCATAATGTAATGGCCTCGGCCAGTAAAATCAGGGTTCGACTAAAATAGAAGCTGAAAGTATTGAGTCAAGTTCTGAAGATAACTACTACAGATATTATAAAATAAAAAAAAAAATCACAGATAAGACAAAGATAAATATATATACAGACATAACGAGTACAGAGGATTTTTGTTGTAACTCCCACAGATGGTTTTGGTTGCACTTGGTTTTATATACGCTGCCTTATGTTGGTTTTTGTATTTGGAGATACAGACTCACTCTATCTAATGGGCCAAAGGAGGTAGGCTCTATACTTGAGGGCAGGGGCAAAGTACAGTCTCTGAAACGTTGTTTTAAACAAAAACAGGGCGACGGGAAACGTCCAAAAAGTTAATAATTATATTAATTTACCATCATCACGAACTTTTGGATCTTATATAACCCTTGGAGTTTCCATATTCAGGTAGAACATGAATAAAACATTATATGTAACTTTAAATGTGGAAAATAATATATTTGATTGGAAGAGTCAATGTAGGGATATGATCTAAACTAGTATGTCATCTGTGATATCTTTTAAACTTACTTGTCCAATCAATTCCAATATGCAAGAAATCTGATCATTTCTGCTAGGTATATCCTGGAACAGCACCTCCTTCATGACAGCTTAAATATCACAGACTCTGATTTTTGTGCTACCTACCCACATACAGCTCCTTTAGGAAAACAATAAACACTTCAACATTTCAATCTGCAATATGCCAAACATTTATTTACAGCAATTGCGTTCCCATCATAACAAAATTAATGCGGAAAAATACAATAAATTACTAACGTCATACAGTTATAATCATAATTCTATACTAATACTACTAACTCTACCTTATACTGTTAAATCTACCAGAAACAAAATTCTCTCCATGCATACATACTGCAGTTCCCGCTCTTCCACCTCTCGTGAAAAAACAAAATTATGGACATTATGGATACCAAGGATTGGTGATAAATCGATGTCAACCAAAGACTCACTTCTTATTGTAGTACGACTGGTTATGACTTTTTAATATGATCCGTGGTATCTGACGTTCGAGTAGCGCATGATAATGAACGACAATGAAACATGGCAGCGTGAAATAGTACCAGTAGTATCCAACATCCAACAGTACCATGAACATGAAATCTTAGTTAGTGTGTATGTGTCTAGGTGACGTGGTGATTACGTAGTTAATTATTACGAAGAATGCGTGCGTTGCTTGAAATTATGATCTGGAGTTTGTGGTGACTGATTTTTGCAAGGAAATGTATGCAGTAAATCTTAATTAACTTCAACTTGCACAAAAACTGGAAATTACACCTTTATTGAAATTGTTGTTCCGGAGCTGTTATATGTAATTTAGAGATGCATTTTTATGCTAATCACTGTTTCATTCATTATAATTAGCTGGACTTCATCTACGGAAAATATTTCACCATGTTGGCGTAATTCCAAATGGTACAGACATGATCTCGGATGCGGAATATTATTACTGCCTGTGTCTTGTTATTGTACCTGTGTATTTATTTTTTTCATTGTGGGCATGGATGGGTTGGGAATTATTTAGGAATAACTAAAAAATTAGTTCAGTGTTGGAACCAATCACCAGGGAACAACATATGCGTCATATTGTTTAGTTTATGACAAAAATGACAATTCTTGTTTCTGTGAAGTAAAACTGTAATAAGCAGTACTTGTCTGAGAATACGTTGTATAATAAAGAGATATGTAAGGCAGAAACCTGCCTTCTCCAAAGCCAAGATGAAAAACTTTATCTGATGAGACAGATTTGCAGTGTAGCTTCTGAAGTGCAGTGAAAGTGTGGATTGACTCTCATTCATGTTTTGGTTGTGCACCTTTTTTTAAAAACTTGTGGACAATGGATATTTATTTATAAGTTGAAATTTTTCTTCTTTTTACTTCACCTTATGAATAAAAGAATGTTTTGTTCTGTGTTTGTTTTACATATGTAGAATGAAATGTTTTTATATGAAAGCATAAAAAAGTATGTCAGTCGACCAATTTACACACAGCAAATTCTGAAGTATTTGCTACATTATATATATGTACTTCTGTACACGATTATTTTCGCAACCCACAAACTTCATATGAAAACTCAGTAGGGTGTAGAGGAAACTATGTACACAAGCTTGTACATTTTTACCTACAAACGGAATTCACAACATATGCATAATTTTTTATACTGATCTCCATTGGATGTTGGATTCTGACATTGTTATTTTTATTAATGTTCAATTTAGCTGAAAAAACAGATGCAGCTTTTATTCAATGGTGGACCGAATTCTCATAAAAGTAACCAGTTCATGACAATTCTGGGTGTAAATTTTATTTGCAGTTAGGTTCATGTTGTGCATTTTGAATAAAGTTTGCCATTCTGTTATAGTGTTTATTTTCAAGGCTGTGAATCATGGATCAGTCCTCATTTTGGATTAAGAGGAATATATTATGATCAGTCAGTACAACTTAGGTTCGATTCCTGGCAGATGGGGATAAAGCCACCAGGGCTTGAAGCTGACCACTCTACATCTAGTGCTGAGGTAAAGAATGGTGGAGCTATATGTTCACACCATCTATACAGCCTAGTGCTTAATTAAGTATACACAGGGACTTCACCTTACCTTACCATGTTACAATGTGAAATTGATACTTCTAGTATCATAGCCATGACCCTTTTCTTCCCAAGGAAATGGGTCCATTGACCCAAATCGCATACTGCACATATATACAAAGCTCTAAAGTGAAATCTCTTGGGATTCTACATAGCATGAATAAAAGAATCAGAACTGTCTTTACTCAGATGACTGACTTCAACCACACTTTTGAAATGCTTTCATTCTTATCTGTTTAATTTTTAGATAATATTTAAAATTTTACGCCAGTGCCAGTTGTCTGACTGGGAAATCTGTCGGTTACAATGCCAAAAATTTGACATCTCACAATGTGAAGGGTTAATAATAAAATTCTAAACCAAACAAATAGCCACCAAGTCTGCTGTAAGATCATGCTCAGTGCAGTTAAATGAAGTAAATTGCATGAAACAACTTTGAAAACTGATGTTCACCCTTCAGTACATCTTAGATTTGATATGCATGATATACCTAAGTCATTTCTTACTAATCTGCAGCTGATCAAAGAGGCCAGAACAAAAGCCATCAGATAGGTTGAGCTATGTAGAGGGATATTTGATGTGATAGCAGAATTTGGGCAGAAGAGAGTCCAGGAGATTACATCATCATCATCAGTAATCTGTCAGATGACAGGTCCACAGTCTCTTCCAAAACAATTCCTCCACTTAATGCGATCTAGAGCTTTCTGCTTCAAATGACAGTGTCCTCTTCTGTCCCCAAGGTCATCCAGCATCTTCTTATGTCTTCTTCCTCGTCTTTTGTCACTTCTATCCGCCCCTCTATCTTTCCTTCAATAACTTCTTTTAGAAGGCACTTTCTGTGTAAAACATGACCAATCCAATTAGCCTTCCGTTTTCTTATTTCAGGTAGGATATTCCTCTGCTCACTGACTCTGATTAACACTTCTTCATTTCTCACATAATCGGTCCAACTGATCTTATCCATCCTTCTCCAACACCACATTTCGAAGCTTTCCAGGTGTTTCTGATTTACTGCCCTAAGTGTCAATGTTTCAGCCCCACACAGAGCTATGCTCCAAATGTAGCATTTCACTAGTTTCTTCCTCAAATTTAAGTTGAACACATTTAATTAATTATTACTTCCACAGTCACAAAGACAACAAATACAGGTTATGAACTTTCAGATTCCCGCAAACCAGAAATATGAATAAAACTCACGGACAGTTCAAAATTCAAATTATTCATGTATTTCTGTTCTGTTTCATGGCTTTCTGAAGAAAAAAAAATTCTCAACCATGTTACAGATAGTGCCTGATTATTTGTCTGATACCGTAATTACTCAAAAAATGATGTTGGAAATGCTGGCATGTCTCTTCATGTGTGTAGTGAATTTATTACTGTATCATGTAGGTTATTTTGGAAACTGGGACACCTCAATCAGTACAGTGACAGGCAATGGGCCAGATGGCCATGATTCGATTCCCAGCATGGATAAGATTTTTTTTTTCTCTACTCCAGTGTCCAGACTAGTTCTGGGGCCCACCCAGGATTCTGTCTAATGGGTACTGTGGGCTCTTTCACTGAGGGTAAAATGGCTGGAGCATGAAGGTCACCGGTGCAGCTATACCTCTACTCCCCCATACATTTTTATGGTGTTGTGCTTAATTAATTAATTAAGCACAAGGTCAACTCTTATAATGCAGACTTTTAAATAGCCAAGTGTATTAAAAGAAAGTTATTTTTAAACTATTTTTATGAGTTTGGGTGAAGAAATGGTATCCACACATTCTCAAAATGAACACAGTAATTATTAAAGAACATGTTTCTCAAAATGGTACCATGGATATTTTTGTTTTTACAACTTTGCTACATACCATTTTTGTCAAAACTAAAGTATAACACTTTACTTTCTCATCTGAAGCCAGTCCGATCTCATTTACAGTAACTATGATTGCCATACAGTAGAATGCTACTTGAATAGTAACGCCCTTACCTTTTCTCCAATGGGGAAGGAGGGCTGATACAATTTATTCTCTCTCTCACATGCGCAGAGACACAGAACTACATTAAGGAATGTCTCAGGATGGTTTGTGTGCATATTTAGGGCAGTTTGAAGGTACTGAGAACAGAATACAAGTATCTATGAGACTAATTTGTCTATTCTCATATGAAGGCTGTCTTTCTGTGGCCGAGGAATAAACTCAGCATTTCAGTAACCATATAGAAAGGTGCAGCAATCTCAGGAAGGTTTACAGAAAACTAAATAATACACCAACAAATAGAAAACTCGTTTCTGTGCTGGGATAATTATTTACAATGTAATTCCCCTAAATTTATGGCTTAATATCTTAATTATTTACAATGTAATTTCCCTTAATTTATGGTTTAATCTCAAAAGATCTTAATTCAGTAATATCAATATTAAATTTACTTCACTTAAGAATTTCCTCAATTTAGTGTATGTCTCTGCAGTCCCTCACCCCCAGATAATTTCACTGCATTTAAAAAAAAAAAAATAAACTGCCACGCAAAGACAAGTTTGACTGCTTCAATAAGAAAACAACCACAATTTTGGTATGTGATCACCGGTAATCCCACAAACTATTAGTGCAGTGTTTCTCAACCGCTGCATCCTGGCATCAATTATACCAGGCTCTCATCTTATACAAAAAGGATTTACCAAGCTGCAATCTCACACAGGTTGAGAACCACTGCTACTAGTGTATCAGTAACTTCAATACAAAACAGGCATGATAGAAAAGTAAATAAGCAAATATTTACCAAGTTACTAAATTGAATGTGCCAATTATCTCTTTAATCCACTGACTTAGAGTACTTCATAAAGAAAAACTTTAAACACAGCACAATATCTTTGCCACAATATGCAAGGAACAATCACCAAACATGTTCCTCTGTCCCAATGGAATTAAGTTCACTGCACCATTTACTACAGTTTGTTTGTCCTACAAGAAAGAGTCAAAATTTCCATACAAGGAAAACAGTTGTCTACTGGATGGACGATTCAATCTAAACATTGATTGGCTGTATCTTTATGCCAGTGTGTTAATAAAACATAAAGCACTTCAAACACAGGGCGAATAACCCTAACAATTTTAAAAAATTTTAAAATTTGGACAAGAATTTAAAGGTTTAAAATTAGAACTAAAGATTTTATTATGGTGCTATTACAATAAACTCAAAATTAACGTGTGTGAAGTAATCTACGGGTGGACAGCTATCAACGAAGTAGAAGTTGATAATGACAGGGAGAGTGTTTTAGATGTTAAATTTTGAACTGGGTGCAGTATGACAGCAACGTGAGTGTTATACACCTGATGATGGCCGTCTGAGGCCGAAACATGTAGTGTAGGGAGCAAGATCAAAGACACAAAATATATTGTTTGCACTTGAGACGGAGTTTATATCATTTATTATAATATCTAATCCTGTCATGCTGAATGTACTTACTCCTAAGTCAAATGGACAATGAATCTTACATACTAATAAAGTAAAACCTAAAATACTTATTAATATGTACAGTTATAAATAAATTAAACAATTTTCAAAACTTCTTGAAGGAAGCTGGCTGATACCAATATTTTGTTACACTTCCCAAAGAGATACAATTTTGCATATTCAGTGAGGAGTACGAACTTGAGCGTGCAGGGTGGAATAACCATTGATTTTTTGTGTGAAAGTAAATGTGTATCTTAATGACAATACACTAATTGTGCTTACTTTGTATGTATAGGAACTGCCCACCCCAGAATCATACAAAAATGTCTTAATTTAAGCCACGGGCATGTTAGACTAATCTTAGTTTTTTGGTTTTGAAGTTCTTGTTGCAGTGATTGTGATGAGTACAGTGTACTGGGTTGTAATGCTGTGTAGCCTTGAGACAGCCAGACATTTCAGAGCAACACATTGCCTCCAAACTAGCAAAACCAGACAAGAAGCTTGCCGCCTGCTTCTGTGGGTTTCTGGCTTGGCTCTATCTTCAATCCTGAAAACAGGCAATTTTCCTCTGAAACTTGGGGTTCTCTCTGAAATATGTGGTATTACAACCAAGAAGACCATACTCTTCATATTACTGTTAATTTCTTTTATCTTACTGATTTCACTTTCAAATAATGTTAATATTATAGAAAGATATTCCTCCCTAACACTTTATGAGTAAAATAAATGGAGGGATGGGGAGAAAAATATGTAAATGTGTGAAAAATGATCATACCAGATTCCTTTGATATGAAGTCACTGTTTGTATAGTCACCCAAACCTAACACTAAGAGCAGATCACCAATATGGAAAAATAAATGTGGCTTATATACCTCCCTAATGTCAAATAGTTTTGAACAAGTTTCTTTTTCAACTAAACATGGGTTTGTCACACTGTTTCTACCATTCCTCTCCTGCGGGTCTTTCTGTCTTCCTTATCTAATACTCCATTCTCAAAGGGCATCTGAGTAAAGGACGTCTCTTCCGAAGGTGGCGCAGGGGGTCTCTCAGTCTCCACTTCTGCCACTTGGGACTCTAGTGTTGATACTGCAACAGGTGATGGAGGCTCTGGGGTTCCAACTGGAGCTGGTGGATACAAGCTCGGAAAAGAAGGTCGCTTCAGTGGAAACTGTGATGCCCCATTATTCACTTCTGTAGGAGGACTGGGTGTACCACTAACACCACTTCGAGGTTTGTGCTGTATGTTCATAAAAGTATCTTTACATCATTAAATTATAACCTGCATTCATCTACACATACTAAGTATCTCATATCTTTATATTTTAGAACATGGATATGAAAAATTTATCACAGAGAACTAGAAATCCATCCTAAAATTGTATCTGACTGTATCTGGACTGTTACTGAAAAATACCTGACATTATTTTGTTAAAGTAATCATGGTAAGCTGTAAATGATGAATTTAAGCTGGAAAATAGACTTTAAAATGAGGAACCATTGAATTAATTAACGGAACTCTTATGCAGCAGAAAGAATGTCAAGAAAATATACATATAAACACAAACACATGAAATAAATGGAGACCACTGGAAGGATAAGTGAGGCATAAAGAGACTAAGCCCCAGGTATGGGATAATGCTGGTATTGTGCTAAAGGAACATAATGGTGGTGAACGTGTCGTGGTCTGGCATTCAAAGCCAGGGAAGTTTTGCTATCAACTGTTTGAATGGAAGAGGTGTATGCAGATGTATGATAAGATTTTGTTGAATATTTTGCAGATGTTAAGACTTAACTGTACTTGCGCTGAGCGACATAAAGGTTGAAAGGAGTCTGGAGTTGTTGGTATAAGTAAATGCCATTTGCATGTGTATTTTTATATTCCTCTGCCACAATACCACTTAGTACTACAATGATAATGTGCTTTACGTGTCCTAAATTCGTTAGAACAACTGATAACTTGTAAATGGTCAAAACAGATTCATACTTTTGAAACACAAATGGAGTAACATGTGCTGCTTTCATTTATCCACCTACGTGTATTATAATGTGAAATATCAGAGAACATGTCTTCAGACAATACAGCACAAGTTACATGAACAAATTTCAGCAGTGTGCCATGCATTTAATTACCATTTACTACTTAAAGCAGAACCCCCATTTAATGTTCTTTCATTTAAGTTTTCCCCTCATTTTACATTCCATTTTAGTCAATAATCTTATAACTGAATTCCCCAAATTTAATGTTTTACTCAGTTTAATGTTCAAATTCAGCGCTCCCTCAAGAAATATTAAAAGGGGGCTTAAGTGTATAATAATGATATATACGTATATCTGATTGGTGAATGTATTAAGGGCACTTGCCTTTGACCCCATGTCTTCCAATGGTATTTCCTCACTTCGTGGACGAGGCAGTCTTGGGGACCCTTCTCGAGATCGAACCACATGTCCATTACGAGCATGACGTTCTGGAACCATCATATTAATTTCTACCAATCATATAGTGTAACAGATAGAATAACTTTAAGTTAACCTTATATCAACATGACATACTGCTTGAAACCATACATGTGTACACACAAGTATTCTCAACTTATCAAGATAGGATCTGCTCACCTTGTGAGTCTGAACGTATTTTGGCAGGGGATGCCATTCTCCCAGGAGGCAGGCTCTCTCTCCTCATGGCCACAGTGGCAAAACCAGGAACCTTATTATTTGCAGTAAACAATGGACGATGGTGACCAGGTTCTCGAGCCAGGCGACTGCCTGCGAGCCTCAACAGAGAAGTTTGTATCAAGTTTCTTCAACAGCATCTTGTACACAGACACGTTCTGTAATAAGCTACAAGTCTGTGTCTCTAGTCTATATCAGAGAGCCATATAGACTCATACAACTTCAGGGAACCAATGGCATGACCAAACCTATAGTAACATAAGCAGTGATGTGTTTATGCATCCTGGGATCCCACTGAAGCACAACTTGAGTATTTATTACTATATATATACATAGGAAACCCATACAGACCAATCTCTTGTCATCCATATAAACATAATTATGTATTAACTACCTGCTAAATTGATTACACACATATCCAATAACCAAACAAGCAAAATAAACAGAAATAAACACCATTAGAAACATACTGTGCATGCACACACACGCACACACACATGCACACATATGCAAGTGTCAAACACTTAAAATTTCAGCTTCCCCCCCCCCATATTATGTGTTTACATGTCAGTTAGCAATTTTGAAAATATAATCCATGTCTCTTAAAAACAGTACCTACTTAATGTGAACAGTAATTTCATCAGGAATGGTTCTAAACCATTTTCATTATGTGTTATGTGTGACTCATTTACAGAATATCATCCAAAATGACACTACACTGTCCACANGGGGGGGGGGGAAGCTATACAATAAGCAGGAAATTTTCTCTGGACACATGCATATAATGAAAACAAGAGAGTCTTACACTGAATTCTGCATCACTTACTTTGCTTAATGTCAAGAGATATAAAATTTTAGACAGAACAGAACTTGAGCTCTCAAATAACCTTCATTGCTACTGTCCAACACCATGTTCAAATAAGAACACTCACGTGAGTTTGTTCCATCAGAATGTCGGTGCGCCAGCACAGTGTATGCCGGTGGTGAGGGACAGGGCTGGACATTACTTGGCAGGTCTAGCAATCGTGCAATCATATGCATCTTCTTCTGCCGAGCCTTGATACGACCCTTTGTCAATCTGTAAAAAGAAACAATAAATTTACCTATTATAGGCAAAGAAGCTGTAAACTGCACTGATTGTGGCTCAATCAGATGAACATCCAGCAACACAGAATTAAATGAAACACAGTTACCATTAACCAGATCCAAGAGAAAATGAAAGTGTCAAAATTAAATTTCCATGTAACTCAGTAGGATACATTTTATTATATCATCTGTGCATTCCAAACCAGAATTTAAATACTGTAGCACACAGGCTGAAACCCAGAAGTGGGGAGCAAGAAGAAACAACCATTGCTAAACAACGGCTGGGAAAAAGTTTTCACAGAAACGAATAACCAGGTAGCAATGTTTTCCATGTGGTCAGTGTAAAGGCTATATAAGAGGNATCTCGATTAGAGGAGGCCAAACCACATCACTGGCCGACTTCCTTTACTTCGCAATTGAGGTGTCGTGTGTGCTTTTCACGTGGGAAACGAAGAACCGTCTAGACAAAGTGCGTGAAGTGCGACGTCGGACTCTGGATTTCCGGATGTTTCCAAGATTTCCACACTAAGCCAACTTCCGTCAGACGACGCAGGTGGGAAGAGAGACAACTTATAAAGATGGTGACCAAAAATCATGTAAGTAGAAAAAGAATTTATAACTTAAAATAAGATTTTAAAAAGCCAGCCGCACGCGTGGACTACGCAACGACATATGGCGTCATTCGTCCCCTTGACTTTATTTTCATGACGCCATATGGTGTCGCTCGGCTCTTAAAGGTTAAAGCAAAGAGACCAGATCCAAGAGAAAACGAAAGTGTCAAAATTAAGTTTCTATGTAACTCAGTAGGATACATTTTATTATATCATCTGTGCATTCCAAACCAGAATTTAAATACTGTAGCACACAGGCTGAAACCCAGAAGTGGGGAGCAAGAAGAAACAACCATTGCTAAACAACGGCTGGGAAAAAGTTTTCACAGAAACGAATAACCAGGTAGCAATGTTTTCCATGTGGTCAGTGTAAAGGCTATATAAGAGGAACAAACTGAGAGAGGATGTTTCACAAGAGCTTTAACTGTAAAGGTTCAATTGCAAAAGACTCTGGTTGTGAGCCTCATGAGGCTCGACATCAAGATAGAGGTGATTGGTGGTAAATCGCCAGTCATGAAGTAACTCTGACTCTTAGATAGTCACAGCCAGTTATGGCTCCGAAGCTGGGAATGTGAGAACAAGTCACCAGCTGGTAACAATATGAGCAGAAGAGGGACATAGTTGGGATCTGTTGCCAGCCAATGTCTAATGAAGACATACTGGGAAGACTTAGTGTGTGCCATAGTGAATTGCAGAGTGTGAATTAACAGTAGCACTCTTAATTCTTTGTAGACGAGTTTTAGGAGTCCAATAAATCCAATTACCAATCCAAACCCCATGTCTATTCACTAAATGCATGACAATACTGTTACTTCCAGGATAAACCTAAATTATAGCTGTTTCAGTGGAATGCTGTGCATTCGACTAAAGCAGAAGCAGAAATTAATATGCACTTTGTGACCTTTTGTCACAACCAATATGGCGTCTTAATACAATGCTAATGAGGTCACCCAGAAGAGCAACACATTAAATAAAAACAAATTATAAATGGAAAAAATAAAATAAAGATAGTTTAACGGAAATCTTAATGTTCTCCTATCGTTAACAATGTTGTATTTTAGCATCCTGTTGCACCGATTCCCATCCATGATATGTATGTATTGACTGTCTTCTAGTGCACACAATCTCACATGTCACTTCACTACATGTTTCGGCATCACTGTGCCATCCTCAGGTGTGTTATTTGCGTTAAACTATTGCACTGCTCACCATCTTGTGTCGTTTATATAATGATTTAAAATGTATATTCTTCATGTACAATAATAAAATTTGTTAAGATTTATCATCTTATACATTGTATTTCAAACTCGCGTATTATATCAATCTTCCGCTATGGGAGTCGTTCTTCCTGTATTTTGTGTATAGTGTGTCTTGTGATGTGTGCTTTTTTGGCTCCGTGCGTTGTTGCTGGTGATTATTAATGTATATTCCTTGGTGTGGGTACCAGAGAAATAAATATGGTATATGTGGAAAAATGTAAAATATACTGAAATATTTTGAGAACTTGATTCCACGCACAGAATGCTGCAGCATAGTGGTTAACACTCTCTTCACGTTAAGAAGTTCCTAAGTTGGAATTCTGGCCAAACAAATAGCCATTGTGAGGGTTTTTTTGTTACTGTTCTCTAGGAAATGGGCAGTATTCTAAAATTGGTACAACTACTTCTTTCTATGTCCTTTCCAATTTGTCATTCACAGTCATGATGCCATCTGACACACTATAATTGACAACAAATTGTCGTTAAATACAGTAAAACAAGAAACAAAACATCAAACCTCTTTCCATCCAATATATCCTGAATTAATATTAAATTCATTCTTTTCTTTATCCTTAATTAAATGAAATTTTAAGTTTCTGAGAACATGCGGTACACACCGAAGGCACAGGGTGATCTACATCCATATGCAGCACTAACAAATTACACCATAAATATGCAGTATATTTTGACAACTGTATGAATATGTTCCAGAACAACTCTCATTGTAATCACAGTTTTAAAATTAAATTTTCTCACCTCTGCTTTGCTGCCATACAACGAATATGATCATCAAAGATGAAGCGCGCTGAAAGTAATGGCACACGATTGGTAGATGAGCCAGATGGCAATGGACGATGAATTGTGATATGGAGACAGCGAGAGTCGTCCTTATCTCCTGTCACTTCAATGTCCTATAATCACATTTTTCTCATAAAAAGCAAGAATTAACATTATAACATTATTGCTTTGAACCAAATGAGAAATAAAATCATGATGCTTCAGATATACACATATCCTACAAAGGAACATGTCACAATATAGACATGGTACAATTATGAAACAAATTACAGCATCAAGCCTAGTGGGGG